CTAGTAAAGATTAGATTTTGTGCTCGACTTTTCTACAGGACTAGGTGGAATATAAAATCAAATACAGTATTAGAAAAATTATCTGTAATTTCTATAATACACTCACTTTTTAATACCAAAGACCCTCAGATTTGTGACCAATTAAACATTACCTAGTGAGGTTGGCCCAAAAAGTTTAAGGAAATGTGATCAATGAAACCATTGCAAAGTTACTTATTTAAAACATTTCAATACCGTCAGTTATGCCATACAACTCCAGTCAGTGTACAACTCTAAATACATTCAATATGATTAAAAAATAATGAAATGATTAAAATTAATGAAACAAAGCATATAAAATAAACCATGAATTGTGGTACATGAGATCCATATGCCAAAGTAAGAAAGAAAGTTTCCAATGTGTGTCAATACTGAAGCAAGGCTAGTATGTGCTTTTATCTCTGGGGAATGTCCTTCACAGAATGATGTCAACATGAGTGGCTTAATGGCCTAGTGGCAGGGTGGATAAAAATCAATGATTTTTTTAAAAAAATCAAAAAAATCGGATTTTTTTTATTTATATCGGATTTTTTTATTTAAATCGGATTTTTTTGATTTATATCGGATTTTTTTATTTAAATCGGATTTTTTTGATTTTTATTGAATTTATTTTAATAAAAAACTTTTGGGGTAAAAATCTACCGTAAAATAGTTTTCTATTTAAGATACATAAATAATTTAGTTTATTCAGCATGAAATGGAGCTTAGTTATGTAGCATGAGGCTGTATATTCTGCAACACTGGGACTATCGATGAGTCAACAGTGGGTCAAAAGAGTAGCAGACATGACAATTGCTCTTTAAAAATTATGATTTAAATCGAGTTGATTTAAATCAAGCCTTTTTACTAGTGATTTAAATCATGATTTAAATTGTGATTTAAATCAACTCGATTTAAATCAAATCCATCCTGCCTAGTGGTGAAGATGTCCCCCCCCCCCACTCAAAAGGTTGAGAGTTCAATCCTAGGTAGCGGCAGATTTTTCTCTTAAGATGAAAAGAAAAAAATATTTGCCACAAAGGGCATCCAGTAAGTAGTTCCATCCAGTCGCCCCAACCCTACCCTGTATTAAAGGATTACAGGGTCATAAAAAGGGAGAGTTTTTTTTTTTTTTTTTTACAGTGGATGCCAATATAGAAAAAGGCCTCTTCTTGTCAGATGCCCAATGAATATTCATCACCAAGACAAATTCTATTGATAATCTGATGAGCAGACTCCTGTGGGAAAAGGTATTCTCTCAGCAACCCTAGTCTCAAGGGATTTAGATCTTTATATGTAGAAGCAGTTTGTGGAACTTTTTCAATAAAGGTGTTATTATATTCCAGGAATCCGGCACTCTGCAAAATTACCAGTAGCAGTTTATCATGGTGCTCTTTCAGTCTCATAAATGAACCCATAAATAAATGACCTGCTTTTTTTACAATCACTTTTTATCACCTGGAGGACATAAATGGAAAGCTGTATTTCTATGTTGGGTGCCAAATAGGAGCCTTGCCTCATTAAGTACCGTAGATTACTTTCTGCACTAATTAAAGAGAATGAATGGAATGCACCTTTCTTCTACTCTCAATCCACTTTCTCACCTGTCTGCATGCAATTTCGGTTCTCTATGGCAGAGAGGTGAAATTAAGATCAGTTTGAACTCTTGATATTTTCTCCATATCTGAAAAGTAGGGTCAGCTGATTCAATGAGAATACCTTCTGAATCAGCTTCATCAATATATATTTTTCTTAAGTGAACCAAAACATATTCTGGAGCTTTCTGTTGCACTTTTGAATTGGTTGCCAGAATGTGCCTACATGTCAATTGGAAAAGAGATAGAAGCCAATATTCCAGTAGATATTCCCCCTTCTTTCAGTTGTCTAGCTGTTTTTATTCCCATGATGAGGGTCTTTGTCTTGTTTTGGGATATGTGACCAAACCTTAAGAGCACTAGGTCTCTGGATGCTTCACATTGCCATGATTTATTTTATCAAGGTAGTTACAAAGTTACTAATTAATGATAACTTAAGGGAATTCTGAGTCTGCAGACACAGGCCTTCTCTTCCCCTATTTTTTTTTTCCTGAGCAGGTGTGCATCCTTCCAATCTAAGTACCAAAATGCAGAAAGATGGCATTTTTAATTTCTAAAAACTCCGTAGGGCCTTCTTGGGCCTATGGGCTTTGTCGTAAATAAGGATGATTGCTGCAACTTCTTTGCCGCTTTAATTTTCTTAACTAGTCTGTTTAACCAAATGAACGTAGAAAGGGCAGGGGACCTGAAGACAACCTGGAAGTGTCTCAGACACACAAGGAACAAATAGGCCTTATGTGTCTGCAGACAAGGAACACCAGGAACAACTTTAAAAGGTGTGGACTTCAATTCCCAGAAATCTTCAGCCAGAAACACCGGGCTACACTGAAGAAGATCATAGAGTACCTCTGTCAAATTCAGGAGAAGCAGGGTGATTTATGTTAGGCAGGACAAATTGTATTGCATATACGTTTAACTCTGTCTCCCAATATCCTGCTGTCTGGAGTTTTAAACAGATGCCTTTTTGCCAGAGGTGGGGTGGGGGCTGAAATTGCCTAATGACAAGGCTGGTCTTATGCATTTCTCTTTCCCCTCTCCCTTCACTGCCTGGAGCCTACCTGTGCCTCTTATTTGTTGTATGTGTGGGTGTGGATGAGACATAAAAAAACCCTCACATTATATTAAGATATTACAATCTGTATAGCCCTGTTTAATTATTACCGGGGGAAGGCAAACTCTAAAGCGACTAGAAATCAGCCACATTTCTAGTTCACAAAAGCACTGAAATGCTTGGATATCCAGTGTTAGCAGTTGCAGTAAAAGGAGAACTATAGAATCAGACTTGTGTTAAAAACTGATTCTATATTTCTCTTTTTACTGCAACTGATATAGTCTATAGTAGCCAGAAATCTGGAGGGATCTGGTTAGTGGGAAGAGAAGGCAGGAAAAAGGACAGCCAAGCCCTCAACCTTTTATTACAGGCATTACTAATACAGGAGGAAGAGGTGTGTTTATATGATTAAGTATTTCTCACTCATACAGGGAAGTCATGGTGGGAAAATGAATTACTTTTTCTTTAATTCTCTATACAGATCCTGGATTTATGTAGGCATAGCAAGCAAGGCAAAAGAAGAGAAATCCTGCATAGAATAGGCAGCTAGAATCAAACCCAAACTCTCCTCCTCCTGATATTCAGTACTCCCAGGCCTAAAAAGCACAATGACCTGTTCCAGGTTGGCAACTGTCCCATACAAAATAAACTCTTAAGAGTATAGAGTTGCATTTCAACATAGTCATAATCTAATTTTGATCCCCAACATTAAGGTGACAGTACATAGTGCAGTATTACCCTGCTAAGTCTCCTCACTTGGACAATGCAAGATGTTCAGCTAAATTTGCACTCTTAGAACTACTTTTTTAAAAAAAATTGATTTATATGCTGCCCTTCTCCGGAGACTCAGGGCGGCTTACAATGTGTTAAGCAATAGCCTTCATTCTTTTGTATGTTTTTATACAAAGTCAGCTTATTGCCCCCACAAACTGGGTCCTCATTTAACCTACCTTAGAAAGGATGGAGGGCTGAGTCAACCTTGAGCCTGGGGAGATTTGAACTTACAGTAATTGCAGGCAGCTGGTGTTAATCGCAATGCTTTTTTAGTCTGCTGAGCTACCAGACCCAGACCTACCAGACCAGAACCACTTATAGGTAGGAACCTCCCCCCCTGTATTTGACATGACGCACATTAAAACAGGACTTGATTTACATTTATGTTTTTGTATCCAATTTTTATTATTTTTTACAAATGCCTTAAGGCTGCAAACATATCCAACACACCTTATTCCTATTTTCCCCACAATCCTGTGAGATGAGTTGAGCTGAGAATGAGTGAGCGGCCCCAAGTCACCCAATTGGCTTTCATGGCTAAGATGAGACTTGAACTCACAATCTCTCACTTACTCGCCTGGTGCAGAGTTTTCACATTTAGCAAGCATATCTGCTTTGCAATGGTACATAGCTCAAGTTGTCATCAACCCAGGCCCAATAGGTTTCTTTTTAGTTTCCCTCCCTCCAAAAACAAAGCCCTAAATTTCCTGTATTTGCAAAGTAAACACCATTTTTGTATGCTAAGGTATGGATCACTGCTTCCAGGCTTTAACAATACAAACAGATGGAGTGAAATTTAAAGCAAAGCAGCAGCAGGCATTGCTTCATCCTTACAAAGTCCTGCAAGCGTAAATATATAGTTTTGCAGTAAAAATGCACACTCAGATGGCAAAACAATTTCTTAGAAGGAAATCCCTCTGTAAGATACTGGACTACTCTGAATCCTTTCTTTCAATGGATTTTTTTTTAAGGAAGGTTAAAGTAGGACTGACCTCTTGTTTTCAGTTCAGTGTGTTGGGAAAACCCATACTCACAAGTGCAGGGAAAAGTATATCAAGGAGTTGGGGATATTCAGAAATATCTACAAAATACGGTACTTAAATTTTTCTCCATCAGGACTAGCTGACCCAACTTTGTTAATCTATAAACCATGGTTTACACACTACAATTGTGCCTGAACCAGACTTACTCTCTGCACTACAAATCAGACCTTGGTAACATCATATACTTCTAGTGAACAGAAAGAAAGACCCACTAAAGTCATCAAAGGTTCATCACAGGTAAAGCGGTCACAAGATGATTACAAACGAGAGGATGGTCAAATTACCCTTTGCCACACAGATGTTCTCTCCCAAAGTTACTCGGGAGAATGCCAAGTCTTCCCTTTTAAACTTTTACACTTGGACAACCAGCTGTTGACAATCACTCTTTCTTTCAAAAGCAAAGCACCTGCAGCAAACCTCATCCGAACAGATTATTTTGGACATAAATACGAAGGCGACCTAGACGAAGCCCCCTTTGCAAAAGGAAAAATCGAAGAGCCGCGATCGGAAAGGACGTACCCGGGTTATAATTAATGGCTGGTTAAAATCGATGCCTCCCGATAGCCTGAAGCCCCAAGGCGGAGGTCCGGGAAGAAGCACGTTTTGTGGCATGTTTGCGGCTACTTTGGGGGGGGAACCTCTGTTCCGCGGGCTTTGGCTCCGCTCCTAAGGGCGGCTTCGCTCTGACCGCTGCAAGATCCCCTTTGCTCCTTCCGGCGACGAGATCACCTCTTATCTGCTCCTGGCTGACGTCAGCGGGCCCGCGTCCCCTCCGCCCCGAGCAGGAGGGCCAACTTTGGTCAACGAAAGGCCGGACTGGAGAAGTCGCTCGCGGGCTGCGTGTTTGGGCGCTTCCCGGGAGTCTCCCCCGACTGCGCTCTCGCAGCTTCGAGTTACAGCCTCCGATTTAGCTCTGCCTGCAGCCTGCCGGGCGGTGCGGTTTCCCCTGCGCCTCTCCCGGCGGCTTCCGCCTTGCAGCCCGACGTTTCTGGAAGGGACCACATTATAAACACTCTGGAGAGAGAGAGAAAAGTGTGGGGCGTTGCTTAACCTGTAATAAAGGGCGTAGGATCCACCTGCCTCGCTTTCTCCGGCTTCTCTTTATTTAGTTGGCTTCCGTTCCCGGTTGAAAATTGTAAGGTCCTCGGGGCAGGGTGTTCTTTTGAAGTTTCTAAAGATCTGAGGTACTCCCAGCATGAATATACTTCGCGAATGGGCAATTCGATAAAGCACTTATTTACCTTATTTCTTCTTAAATTAAAACTACGAACGTCTGTCTACCAACACATGTTATTATCCATGTGATCTAAACGTGTTTACCCTTCCCCTTGGGCAAGATGAAACCTCAAGTTTTTATCCCATGTGGATCTATCCTCCTTTTGAGGATCTTGGTGGTGAGATGCGTTTATGGTTGCCAAATGGTCTGAATGTCACTCGTCAGCTTCAACCAATCTAGCCACTGATAAAAGATTTAAGGATTTGCACCCCAAAACATCTGGTAGGCAGTAAATAGCTTGTCGCAGGACACAATGCAAAGTTGATTGTCTTAATTCTTCCTCCCCTCCCCAGTGTACAGTTGTGTAGGTACTTACCTGAGAGTAATTCCCATTTAATTACAAAATGCAAAATATCAAACTATGGAAAATCCATTCCGTCACTGGATCTGGACTTGATACTTGTTGAAATTAGCCTAATACTTAATGAGTTAGACTTGGGAGAAAATCAATATAATTGTAGAGTTCATGCTGGTTTGGTTATATCCATACTGAGCACTTAAAGATCTAACTTTCCATTTGAATGTAGACAGGTTTATTCAACCACAATATGTCCAATCCTCAAAGGCAGGGTTCCAAACAAGGTTTGTTTGTGGTTAACTCATCTTTGCTTTGTTTAATCCATATCTAGAAATTTGTGAAATTAATTTTTCTTCAAGCCTTTGGAAAGAGATGCCCAAGGAAAATAGGAACAGAAGACATAGAGCTATAAGCACTCCACCTCTGTGTTTGATGTTAGTCATTAAAAAAAACTTCACAGGGACATCCCCAGGGATGGGCAAAAAGCCAAAATGGCAGTTATAAATACATGATTGAAGCACAGCCCTCTAGCCATGTGTGCAACTGTCATCTTTTTTTAACTTTCCTGGGGTGGTCCTGGGAAGTAACAGCTGGCCACACTCAACTATCCTACCTTAAATTGGGATACTTAGGGTAGGTGATCTCAGCAATCTGAGACCGCATTGATATTTCTAGATGAAAAATCTAGATCATGGACTTCATACCAGATAAGTCTCCAAAGATTAGATGTATAATGATCATAAAACAGTGCCCGAGAAGATTTGTATTGGAGAACTTCTAGTCCACCTGCTAGTGGTTGACCAGAAGCAAGGAGGATACTCTGCTGCTAGATGCAAGCATGTCAGCAGTCTCCTTATGATCCTCAGCAGCTAATGTTCAGGTTTAACGTTTTATTGAGTTATAAAATATTGTAAAATACAAAAGTAAATAGAAAAGCATTGGGGAGGAAAATGGAGAAGAGAAATGAGGAAGGAAAAGAAAAGAAAAGCATTGACTTCTCACCTGTCTGTTGCAGTACAATAAGGCATTAACACCCAATCTCAATGTTTTGCTTTTTCATAATAATGTGAACTAGCCATTTCTGTAAAGATCTATCAATCTATTCGGTAAAATCCAAAATCAAAGTTCATTCTTTTCCACTTCAAGCACGAAGTTCAGAAGATGTCTCCAAGTGGAAACATCTCAGCAGCTAATGTTGTGCAACTTTCTGCCTGGCCTTTTTGTATACTTTCTTTTGTTATGTTTATTTCAACCTAAAGTTCTGAGTCAAGTGAGTCAAGATCAGTTCTGACTCAAGTGACTGTAAGTCCTCTAAGTTAAATGACTCCTAAAGTCACAGCTGTTGATGGTTAACTGGTACAAACCAAAATTATATGTACAATGATGTCATGAATTATGGCTCCTCCCCCCCTCAATGTGGCCATTTATGTCATTGGAATTTATACATCAGTCTTTTGCTTAATGTTAAATAGAATCGTGAATAGAATTATGGCTGATTCAATAAATCATTGTTAAATCATAGTTTACTATGGTATGTGAACCCAGTTTCTATGTCTGTTAACATAATGGGGAATGATTTAAATGTTAGCTGTGGCCTTTATGTTATGACCAAACAGCTAGTGTGTTGCTTTCTGAAGTCTTCTATGACAACCCTGGTTAATTTATGAAGAGTGAAAATAGCTATTTTGATTGAAGTAACCTCTCCTCAAAAATGAGATAGGATTTGTCACTGGTTGGCACTGACTTTAAAAGATTCTGGCTGAGTGATCAGCTGATGTTATTCAAGTCTGGATAACATTTTCACTTATTTCCCCGGAGAGTTTTGTTTAATCTTTCACTGTTGCTAGACCAAGGTTGACCAGTTCTTAGTTCTTAACAAACAGTAGCAGCTGCAGGACAAATATGGTGGCATGTCTTCTGTCTACTACATGTGGGATGCAAGCCAACACTTGAGCAGCTACAGAATCCGGTTAGTCATATTGAAACATTTGCCTGAATTGGCAGATGTAGTGATTTAGATTGTGGTAGACAAAGCAAATAGTTCCACCCTCCTTTGTCTAACCTGCACAGGATCTGTGTGCAGTCTCTGGTAAAAGAGGTAGTGAATGACAATAATTTTCTGAAATGCAATTCTACTTCAAAGATCCCTGACACAGGATAAACACAGTTTTATCTGTCCTTGATGTATGTGTACATGAAACAGGTATTTTAACAATTTGTCATAACTGAGAAGAAATTGAGAAGTAACTGAAAGGCCATATATTTTGATGGTCTCAATTGCGGGTTCCAATTGCTGCTATGATATTTGTTTTTTTAATGTGATATCTGACATGCGCACTAGGGAAATTTAAGTATGCTTGTGCATATTCAAACATTTGTTCTTCAACTTGAAGTGTCCTTAAAAACAAATCAGCTGTTTCCTGTCTTCTGGGAAGCAATTAGAAGTTTTTCAGGCAACAATCATGCTGTGGTTTCTTTTGTATATTGAGTTTTTCTATATATTATATGGAAAAATGAAAACAGAGAAATAAAAAAATACATGCCTTCCATATTATTTCAAATAGTTTTTGCATATTGTGTTGTAGAATTAAATGAGTAACATTTAAATTAGTGTAGTTAGCCATTTTAAAAGTTAGACATTAAACCTATGTGCAACACAGATTTCTAAGTAGTCCCTAATTGTGATTCCTAGCATTAAAAAGTTTGTTCAGAAAGAACAGTAAATTGTTCACACCAATCATATTTGTTTTCTTATTAGTTTCTAAACTATTAATATGTAGATGAATAGAAAATGGACATTAAAAAACAACGTCCACCAAAATAAAACAAATATGTAAAATAATTTATGGAGAGAGAGGGAGGGAGAGGAGAAAAAAGAGCCACTGTATCACAGGGCCAATGAATCAATATTCCCCCTTGAGCATCATATTTTTAAGTACTAACTAAACCCATCAATTTGTTCCTGAAAAGATAATCATCCAATAGGTACAAAATAGTATTTTTTTATATATTATTCTGGAATTTATCATAACTTTATAGAAATGTGACATGTAGAAGACGACATGGTTTCTTTGATGGCCTTCATTCCTTTCATTTCTTGAAGCTGATTCTTTTTGTTTGTTTGTTTGTTCCATGCCTTCCTCTGGTCTTACTAGTATATTCCAACAGGGTGATTATTGATAAAGAATATGTTAAATGATTCCAAAATATTGTAAGTTTGCTGGCTATGTTTACATTGAAAATAAATTTTAAGATAGTATTGTATGGAACAGGATGACGGTCACTACAGGGTGACTGAAGCACCATCTCTTTTGCAGGTATGTCAGAGTCTCAGGCACAGAATGGGTGGGGCTGTACTTATGCTGCTTTGGTGCCATCTTGACCTCTTCCCATCCCTACCTGACACTGCTATCATTCAAACCAGAATGGCAGATTGGAAAAGTGTAATGTGCATCAAGAATAGGATCAATGTCCCAATGTCCCAACAACAGGATTAAATGTCTGGGTAGAGTTGGAACGTGTACAATAGATTAGCCATTATTAATTTTAAAGAATAATTATATTGCCACAGCTATTACAAAATCTAATTTGCCTCATCAAATTAATGGAGTAATTTCTTGTAAAAACTTCTATCCATTTGAAGGATGGAGGAAAGGGGGAAGGCAGTTCTGTGAATTGCTTGAGGAGCCAGGTGGCACAGAAACAAAATTGCTTGATGTTTTTAAACAGAATAGTAAACTCTGAGCTGACTGATTATAGTTCTCTTTTGATCATGAGTATTACTACACAATTTAAGTGATGGACATTGACCCTGCCTCTCCTCCTGCTGGCCCTTCCTTTCTGGCCTTTGCTGCTCCTTTGTTCTCTTCTGTCTGCAGTGAGATTGTGTGAAATAAATGAAGGATGATGTCATGGTATTCTGTTAAAGAAGACAAACACATCATTTGAAAAAGCAAATTAGCGTGTACGTGGGGAAGATACCAGAGCTTGAAATGCCATATAGCATATATGCTTATGAAATAATACCAGAACCTGATGTTTTTAAAAAGAAATTTCTAATTAAGTAAGGATGCCACATAAAAATCCCTGTTACTCTTCTATGAATAGTTAAATGTAAACAGGAAATGGCTGTACATGTGAATTACTTTAGGGAAGGATAAAATACAAATGCTTAGATGTGCTGGCTCAAAAAGTGGGAAATAACAGATCAAAATGCTGTTTGGGTTTTTTTTTTTCTGATTATGTCCTTAAAATGTGAAAATAGTTCATTTTTAGCCATTGAAAAGGGTGTTGGCTAAGGAGGCTATTGTGAAACATCCCAAAAATGCAAACAATATGAGGAAGAATGCACACTATGTTTGAACTTGTCTATATGCTATTGCATTGGTACTGTATGC